ATGTTCTTGAACAATATATATTTTACCAAAATAACTAAACTAAATAGTTTGCAACGTATATAATAATATGGCCAAAACATATCTTTTAAAATTTGCAAGTGAATAATGATGACAACATATCACACACATATAAATAATGACCATACCATAACTTTAAAGTTCAACATAATTAAATACTCGAAATAATGTTTAGAATATCATTTTTCCAAGTCTAGGAGCATTTCGGTAAATCTTAAGAAGCCGAATACCAAAGATATAGCTTTAACCAATTCCTTAATTTAGAACATTTTTTGTATCTTTCAAAAGTCTCATATTAAAACTATGCTTAAAAAGTCCAATCCTAAAGCATAGAGGTATTTTGGTAATTTCATAAAGTAGATACTTAAAGTATTGCTAAAATACCGATTTTCTAATTGTGATGTCATTTTGATTATTTCATAAGAATAATAATCAAAATAAAGATCAGATACCAATTCCCAAGACATATGGTCATTTCGGTAATTTATAAAGCAAATACGTAAAGTATCGGCAAAATACCGATTTCCAAATTGTAGAATCATTTTGGTGATTTCATAAGGATTATATTCAAAACAAAAACTTAAATACCAATACTAAGACATAGGGTCATTTTGGTAATTTATAAAGCTAATACGTAAAGTATCATTAAAATACCGATTTCCAAATTGTAGGGTCATTTTGGTAATTTCAAAGGATTGTATTCAAAATAAGACATAGATAACAATTCTCAAAACATTGGGTCATTTTGGTAATTTATAAAACAAATATGTAAAGTATTGCTAAAATACCGATTTCCAAATATAGGGTCATTTGTTAATTTTATAAAGATAATAATATAAAAATGAAGTTTATATAACAGTCTCTAAGACATAGGATTATTTTGGTAAATTTTAAAAAACAAATATATGAAGTATTGGTAAAAACCGATTTTCTATGTATAGAGTCATTTTGGTAATTTTAACAAGATAAATAATCCAAATTAGTTAAGGATTTGCATTTTACGAAATCCAAATATAATTTGATGAAAGTTTTAGAAAATTATTATGAAGAAAATTATATTTCTGGAACTCCAGAGGTTTAAATGCTAATTTCTGAAACTCAAATATGTAATGCATATTAAATATCCTGATGCATAAAAATTAACAAAAATTTTGGTTAGCCTATTGGATAAGATGTTGGTTAACTATGGAGAGACCTAGGTTTGAATCCTGGCCTAAGCAAAAAATAGCCCTTTTTAAAGGCGGGTCAACATGTCGGTTTGGGGCCAGATTTGACCCGAAAGACCCGGTTAATTGACCCAGCCTAACAGCAGCCATGGTTGCTCGTTTTCATGTCTTTTGAACTCGAAAATGGTTCGTTTCTTGGCCTTTTTTCTTCATTCTTTTTGCACAAACCCTTGGTAATTATTTTACCAATACTTTGACATGAAGAACATAAGTTTTCATCAAAAAATGAGTTCCATTTTCTTATTTAAAGTTTTGTTTTTAAAAATAAAACTCCATAACTAAAAAAACATAAAATTGAACCATGTAAATCAGAATATGAGACATGGGGCTATTGGGATTTGATAGAGTAACTAAAAATGAAGTCATAGACATAAAAACCATGAGATTTAATTAAGAATCTCACTCAAAATCGATGAAAAATCGAGATTTTCAACTCGAACTCCAAACTCAGATTTCTCTCTCAGTATTTGCTTATTTTCTAAACTATTCGAACTAAAACGATCCAAAGTCAGTGCTCTACATTTATATGCAAAATTTTTGGCTTATTAGTAGACGAAATCAGATCAAATCGTGAGTTTTTGGCTGTGGGGTCGTTTTCTTACTGTTGACAAAACACGTCCCTCATCTTTGAAAAAAATGATATTCAGTCCCCTGAACTTTTTGACATTTATAACTGGACCCCTCCTGACGTGATAATTTACATTTTTGGTCCAAAACAAATTTAAACTCTTAATAATTTGATTAAGTGGCAGATTTGGCCCTCTCAAGTCATTCATTTACATTTTTGGTCCAATAAAATAAATACCAATTTTATTTTATTATCCTTTTGCCTTTTTTTTTCATTATTTCTTATTTTAAGATTTCTACAATAATTTCTTTCCATTAATCACATAAATATTTTAATATTTCAAATAAATTTATAAAAAAAAACATTTAAATACTCGTATAATATTATTTTTATATATTTAAAATTTTGGGTTTTACATTTTTTTGTTGATTTGTTAGACCTTTTCAGTTTTTTAGTGTGATGTAACTTGTATTTTCTAATATCCCAGAGCACACATCAAAGTTTTAACGAACATGCCTTCCATACCTGAAAAAAATCTATGTACGATAATCGGTTGATCTAGTGCTCGGGACCCCGCTTGGACCTTCATAGGTCCGCCCCTGTTTGAGTGGAAATATGTTTCACGATTGTTCCATTGATCATTGTCCACGTACTTTTTGGACATTTTTACAAAGGCATATCAAAGGGGATATAGGAATGAATATTTAGATATTATAATTAGAAATTAAAGTCACAATTTGATGACTTATGCAATATTATATATATATATTTTTTAGCAGTTATCCCATTAAGATATTAGTGATATGGTTACTTGTATCAAATCAATAGGGACTCGACAATTGAGTATGTTCGGATTTTTTAAATACACATGTGATTATGTATTCTAATATAATGTGACTTTATTGAATTGTTAGGAGTCAATTTTCAGATGTATTTTAACAATTTGATATCATGGTCGTATTACGTAAATCTTAAAAAGGTTTTAAACTGGCATACGTGCATTACTTTACATGTTGAAGTGTGCTTATTCATGCTAGTTATTGTTTATGAGTATGAAATCTATTTATTGTCATGTTGTAATGTTAATCATATGTATGGGTACATACCTAAGAGCCGAGAGACATAATTTACTAGTATTTGTATTTTTAGTGAGCCACATAGTGGTTCTTTAGCAAGTACATTATACACGTTAAGATACACAAAATCGGGATCTCAATTTAGTGGTTATATTCAAATAACTTTATTGAGTGGATTGCATGCTGTCAAATATCATTTTGAAAGCATGGGTCTTTTGTTATACAAAAAAAAAGGATCTCACTAGGCTTTAGGTTTACAGTGTTGTGAACATATCTCTGATGGAAGCTGGGCAGAGTAAGCTTTCAGATGTTGAACAAGTGTGTATAAAATCTCCCATTGTCGATTGAAGTACTATATCAGCAGTAACCCATGTTTGTATCAGTCGTGCTTTCAATAACGGTGTTTTTAATAGAGTACCCCTAGGTGAAAGCTACACAATAGAAGCTCATATTTTCAAGTAATTATATGAATTTTGAATCCCCTTCAGATATTAAACAATAGACATTCTTGAATAGAATGTTACAAATCTTCTATGCACACCATTTATCTCCATTATCCATTTTGTGGGGTTTATCCTGATCGTCCCCACGTTAAACCTCAATCACATATTCCTTTATCCTCACCACAATCTTTCTAGAATGTTATAACAATTTAATCCATCTTCTAATGATCAACACATGCCCAATCGCCATGGAAACCCTTGAAATTAGATTTCATCAGGGTTTATAGTCGGTAATGAGATTCAGACGTTCCCTTCATTTTCTATTTAATCATGTAAGCAGCACGAATTTAGTACACAAGAAAACTATTACCCACATAGCAAACGTAGGACACAAGTATACATATTTCATTATTTTATTGTTAATTCTGAAATTGGTTATAATATTTTAAACGAGTCTGTACTTTGTAGTTCCGGTATAACAATAGGCCCTAACTAGTCGTTATAGCCAATGGTCCACTACTAAACATCACGAATGTTTCACACTTAGGGGCTGTTCGGTTAGTTTTCTGTTAAAACCGTATGGATATAGCTCTCTGTATTGATATAGTTGTCTGTATACTAACAGATAAGTTGTTGTTCGGTTGTTGTGCTGAATAGATAGTCTAAATGTCAGAAATGATCATTTTACCCCCAGTATTTATTTTTGTCTGAATAAAACAACAGTTTGATGAAAATGTTGAACAAATGACTTATAGTTTAAAAAAAATATCAATTTAAAAGTTTTTTTTAATAAAAACAACTTGATTAACATAATTATTAGTTAAATGTTATCAAAACAACATTAACAAGTCCTTATAATAAAAACCCAAGTCAACTTTTTGTCGGTTTTTATAAGTCAATTTGCAATATAGCACATGATTTGTAGTAGTAGATTTGCAATATAGTAAATGGAAATGCAAGCAAATGGATCTTTAATCAAAACTCAATTACTCAAATACTAAATGTCTAGAAATACCTCGTTGCTGCTACTTCTTGGGTCTCAGGCGAACAACGGCTGCCGGTGGGGTGTTCAGGTGGCGACGTTTGTTGCTGCTAGGAGGGTGAAGGGGGACGGCCGACGAGAGGGGTTTGAAAATTGAAATTGATGCTCCTGTGTTTCGTTTGACTGATGAGTTTGAAAATGTATGAGTGGTTGTGGCGGTGGTGGTCGGAGGCGGAGGGAGTGGGACTCGTTATAGGGAATGGATCGTTGAATAAGGCGAGGTTGGCAATGAAGGGTGCAATTTTGGGAGAAAAGAGGGAAATGGTAGATTTGGAATAAATGGTTGGATAAGTGGCTGAGTCCATACTCCACTTTTCTAGTTGACCGGTTAAACCATCGGTTGACCGAATAAGCCAGAAGCAAACAACAATATATAGCTGACCGAATAAGCCATACAGGCTTAACAACCCATTAAGCCATTACCGAACAACCCTTTAAACTGGTCTGCATTGATCCATTGTCCTCTAGACCTTTTGCCTATTTCTCACCCGACCATATGAAAAAAAGGAAGGACTGTACTTGGTATATTGTATAGTTAGAGGACCAAAGTAGACAAATAATGATAGTTGGTGGGCCATAAAGAAGCGATGGAATATATCAAGGGTGACAGCAGCAATGGGGAGAAATGGGTCTGGTAGGATCCGATTGGATTCGTTCATCTCTCCCTTTTTGATCGTCGATATCCACAATCTGATCATTTCACTTTGAGCTACAAATCGGTTCCTCAACCATAAATCCATACTTATCGATCGACAAGTTCACTAGAACCAAGGTTGAATCAGAATTTTAGGTCAACAATGTCGTTGGAACCTCCACCTTTCCAAGAATCATCACGCTGCGACATTTGTAATTGCAGTTTCAACACCTTCAGGCGACGGGTATTCGTTTGAAACCCTCATAATTCGATTAAAACTAGCTCATTATCCATATTCTGCTCAAGATTTATGTGCTTTTTGTTACGGAAGTTTATTCAAATTTGTTTTGGTGGTGTTGTTTTTAATCTAGTTTTGTAGTTAATTGTGTCTGACTCTTTGATCCGTAGCTTTAGTACCTTTTAGTGTTGGATCGTTGATATTATTATACCGAACTATGAAACTTCGATCGCTTTGGTAAAAAAGAAAGTCAAATCTCCTGCTTTGAGTGAGCAAAGTTGATATGGTGCTTGCTCTGAATTTAACAAGGATGTTTTCTAAGTAGCTACATTTAATACGGTTTCTTGAAAAGTTCAAGAAGCATTATCCATCTTCAAGTTAAAATAAGTAAGCTCATTACAGCATTACTCTGTGTTTGGCCTTTGGCTCAAAGGGACAGATAAAAACCTCTCAAGTGTTTCTGAAGATAAACACAAATTAAATCCGAAAAATAAATGGATTTATTCAGTGGTCTAAAAGGCTTGCCATGGCGGCCACCGGGGCTCAAGGCTCGTCTTCTATGTTAAGCTCGGGGCACGCCATGGCCTGATGCTATTTCTGTAAGGCGTTATTTATTATTTATACCTTTTTAGTGTCTTATTTTGTAGTTTTTAGTAACCTAATTTAAATTGATTAGTATCATTGATTCATTGAGTAATAGTAGAATACATATGTGTATGTATACATAATTATATACATGATATAAGAATTTCCCGCCATAAGTCACAACTTGAAAAATGCATTGGCCTCTCCACGGCTTGAGGCTTGACCTCATTGCAATGCCACACCTCGCGCTATTAAAACCTTGATTTTATTTGAGAGGGAAAAAACTTAGATTTACTTGACCTCTAACGAAAATTTGGAAGCATAAAGGGCATGGACCGAACTCTTCACCTGTTGTAGGAACGAAGCACAAAGGGAAATGATTCTGGTTCACAGCGTAAAGCTCACACTTGCAGTCAACTCTAGTCATTTAAATGGGTTTTGTCTCAACTTGAATAAATCCCCCCTGCATTCTACAGACACATGCAGACCCTCCATGGCCTTTTAGATTGAGAAACTGCCATAACTGTCAACTAATGGCAGTCATATTGATCTTATTTCCAAGCAAGTGGTCTGGGCACGGATTAAGAGTGTATCCTTAATTCCTAATCTGGATATGACCTTGACCCTAAACCCAACATCTCCCATATTTTGCCAAAACCAATAAGGGAACTAATATCATCCAATCTCAAAAGATAAATAACTTCTCCCAATATTTGTAGTCATTCAAACTGGGAAAGAGGTTCAACTGACATACTTTGTATGCACAATTCTATGTATCAGTTAGGACGTTCCAAACTTGTTTCGGAAGTGTTCCTGGTTTGAAACTCAAGTTACAATGTCCACATGTAACAAAGCATCTACATCCATCACCAGAAAAAACAGACAGATTTCATGACCTGGAAGAAATTTTAATAAACACAAATTAAATCTTTATCACAAATGGACTTCCTTAAGTTCCCAACAGAAATATGAACGTGGAGGCAGCAGGAAGCAAACTCTTTCCATCGGCCCTTGGATTGGAATCACACACGGAAGCACTTGTTGTACAGAGTCTAAATTTGAACTAGTGGCTTGGGATTTGTCTCACCTCGCAAGCACACACACATACTGATTGTCTCCACACACATGCGTGCCCTTTTCTTTTATCAAGATGTGCAGCAACATGTGGCTTTCATAAGGCAGTTTTTGACACAGATAAACTGTGATAACAGCCAACTAATGGTGGTTATATACAGGAAAATGGTTTGGGCATTCATTCCCGGTGGATCTGGGTTCAACCCTTGGCCCAGAACCAACAGTTTTGAAATGTAAAAATACAACGAGTTATATAAGTACTGAAATTAAAATCACTAAACATCTAATAAGATTGTGTTCTGATAGATTTGATAGAGAACAATGTCTGTGTGAAAACTGATGGAAAATGTGTTTTGGAAGACACTAATTTGATTAGCTATTCTTTTTCTATGAAAGACAGTTTCATTTGATAAGCAAAAATTTCATGACCATGAGAAGAAATTTATCAAGTGAAGAATTGTAGTTGATAGTGTATTGAACGTTAATTGAACCCATATAAAATGAATGTAGTTACTGCTTAACAAGCTGAAAGGTCGAAAGGATCGTTTGGTTATGGATACAACCAAAAAACCAAAGAGATTGTTTAGTTTGGGACATATAGAATATTTTTATTTTTGGAATAAAGGCAGTGTCAGCACTCCACATTACCCAGGGATATTACTAGTTTTGGAACAGGGTGCTTGACATCGTTGATGAATTGGAATGGCCTTCTATTTTATGCAATTCAAGATGTATGCTTTTAGTTATTGGTGATTCAAATGGTAATATTATTCAAATAACATTACTAATTGAAAAGTCAGAATAATGTATATTGATTTACCAAGATAGGACTGCATGTAAGATGTAACTGCTCTCGACACTAGTATGCCTTTGTGAAATCTGAAATGGAGTGGGATAAATTATTTCTTCTTTTCAATAGGATCTGTTACAGAAAATTTAAACTGATGGGAGGCCATATTGCACATGTGATGTATGCCTTAAATTATAAATAATACTCTATTCATACCAAAAATCAACTCAACACTTTCTACTTTGGGTTGTCTGGAAAAGTGCAACATTTCCTTTTTGGAATGATTTCTTTGCAAATTTACATATTTTACCCATAGCAATTGTTACATGATACTGGTGAGATTGATTGTGCTCCACAAGGTCTCCCAACTTATGTTTTATAAAAGGGAACTTTTAGGTATTTAACCAATAGTCAAACACTTGTATTAAACTATGTACCAAGTCAAATCTTGAACTATTTTGGGTTAGAGGGAGTAGTATATCAAGATAAGAGATTCCGAGGGAAGGCCTCTTGATCTGGTGGAACTGTCCATGGTACGGCATAGAACTGGATGAACAAGTGGTAGTTTGTTTTTATACACAGATTCTTTACAACTTCACATTAATGCTTACATATCTTCATGTTGCCATACCATTCTCATTTTGTAGCATCATTGCCGATGTTGTGGCCGAACTTTGTGTGCCGAACATTCATCAGATCAAATGGTATGTTATTTCTCTCTCCTGCCATGCAATTCACACTTCTGTAAGATATTGTTATCAATAAGCTATTCTGTTAATTGTGGTGCAATATCGGTCAGTGGACAAATGCCAAATAGCGGTGGCCAAATACCGGTCTAAATAGCGTTTCCGATAATACGGCGCAATTGGCCGCTATTTGACCGGTATTTGGCTAAAATTGTGGTCCGCAATCGCTCTATTATCGGTTGGGCCTTATTTGAACTATGCTTTTATTTTTTTTTATTTTTTTTGGGGCTAACTTGGGCTTTTATTTAGAAAATCCATTAACATTAACAGCATCCTTTTCATTAGATTTGGGCCTTTATTTGTATACTGTTCGACTTTTTTTTCCATCTTAGTTAGATTTTCAATTTGTTTCCAAGTCAACCAAGTTGGATAGTGTTCGACTCCTTTTTCCAGCCTCGGTTTATGAACACTTTTCTTATTTTGTTTTTACTTGTTTAAGTTGATGTTTTGACGTTGAAACTATATTTTTAATTAATGCATATGACATGTTTATGTATCCGTACATATATATGTATATTTACATATTATATATATAACTCTAAGAAATATTATATGAACCACTGATTTTTGGACCGCTATACCACCGATATAACCGCTATTTCGAATATCTCCTGACCGCTATTTTGTATTTTGACTGCTGCAACAGCATAGTCAATAAGTCATCCTAAGAAATTCCTCTCTAACATTTAATGTTGTGGGTTCTTTCAGGCTTTACCACAATTTGGTCTTCACTCACTTGTTAGAGTTTGCTCAAATTGTTATAATGATGCATCTCGGTAAGTTTTAAAGTTTGTAGCTTGTGCATCTATTTTGCTTATATTGATCTTGAGATGCCAGTTTATGTTAAATAGTTTATACTGCTGGAAAAGATTGCATGGAGTTTCTGAATGCAACTCCCTCACCTGTTTGCTTATAGCTAGGAGCCTAGGACTTAGTTTAAAATCTCTGTTGTTTGAGGCAATGAATTTTCATAGTTCCATATTGAGATCCGTCTTTGTCGTTTTTCCTACTGTTCATAAAGGTATATCTGAAACCCATACTTTTAGTTGTCTTCTGTACCATCTAATTTAAGGAGACTTATGTTAGGGGTTTTTAAGCAGCCAAGATAGCCACACAGCACACCGTCTGATTTATAGTATTTTTGTCTAAAAGTGTGGATGAGAGATAATCCTAACTTCCAAGGCTGAAGCCACTTCTTTATTCTCTATTTCTTTTCATGACATTGTTTATGGGCAGGGTGATCGGAATGTTGGCTTGTGACTGATTTGATCATTAGAAACACTAGAATGCTCTATGCTTCCATGTGTTTATTTCCTCGCCGACTGCCTCTTGTTGAGCATCAGAGTAGATGATTTCCTGGCAATTGGTGGTAAGAACATGAGAAAGATGGGGACGGGGCAGGAGTGTTTGCCAGTAGAGACACTTGGTTTTCTTAAGTAGGAAAAGAAGAGGGAGGAGAGATATTTGATGTATCTGCTTCATCACATGGATCTTAGTGAATCTAAGCTCTGGTTTTTGGGCGATAGTTATCTAGTTAAAATGGTGATCATATGTCTTATCCTTCATTATATCGGAGTATAGCAGGGACCTTGTAGTATCTTGTTCTCACTCGACCAGAGAGAGCCATATGCTATGAGTAAGGTGTCTCAGTGTCTTCTAACACCTACAAATACTCATTTACTGAGGTTAAGCAGATTCGTTGTACTTGTAGACATGGTCTTGTGACCAGTCATCTGACTTATCTCCTCATGCTTACTCTGATGCATTGCATGCTTATCCTGATGCTAACTGGGCAGGATGCCCTAATGATTGGCATTCCACCGATGGATTATGCATTGTTCTCGGTGGCAAGTTGTGGATTGTGTATTATTTTGGTGGAAACTTGATCAACTGTAGTTCCAAGAAGCAGTGTACTACTGCATGATCAAATACTGAGCAGAGTATTGTGCACTTGTATAGATGCTACTGAGCTAAGCTGGCTGCTTGCTTCTCTGTTACAAGAGATAAGATTACTGATTTCTCATCCTCCCTCTCTTTGTTGAGATAATATTGGGGATACGTACTTAGCAACCAATCTAGTCTTTCATCAACATGCGAAGCACATTGAGATTGATCTTCACTTTATTAGGGTTTCTGCAGACATTGGCCACTGGAACCCATATGGATTTACAAAACCATGCACCACATTTTCGAAGTCAGACCTAAATGTTTTAAATATACATGATTTTTTGGCATTGTCATTCCACTTCTGCTCTAAAACTTCTGTTTAAGCTCCTCGTAGATCTTCTGCTAGTTTTTCGTAGAGCTTTAGAATGACGCAGTATGATTCTAAAACTACCAAAAGCAAGGTCCATTCTAGGTTTAAACTATTCAGTTGAACATCTCAAAGCTGGCAAAGTAGCCTTCTAGCAATTCCCTTATGTCATAATTAGACAAAGCTTCCATATCTGTCTGGTACAATTTTACTGATTGTGTTTGTAGAATGTAGGGTATGCATGTTTACTATTTAGGCAAAAAGTATGTAATGACGTCACCAAAATAGTATAACACAATGGTGTTATTTGGTTTTGAAATTTTTTAATAGAATTGAGGTGATAAAGTCTGTTGAATTGCTATTGTTATATTAGTCATGTATCTGTCTGATTACTGTACTTTATTGGTTATTGGGAAAACCCAAAATCGTACAGATATTACTTTAAACTCTACCTCATACATTGTGGCTTAATGTGGCCATGAGATGAACCTTGGAGTACGTTTATCTATTGACCAAGAGATTTGCCTTCTTGTGTATCAAGTTTCTTGCTTCTTGATCAGAGAGCTTTTATGCTATTGCAATTGGATTGTAATTGGACATAATTGTTTTCCTATAGCTCTGGGAAGTCTGATGGAGCCGCTTCTGTGAATGGAGTAAATTCTGTGACAGATTCCGTATCAAGGGTTGATATTAATACACCATCAAATTCTGATGCTAGACAAAGTGCTGGTGTAAGTACTCCAGATTGCAAGTGTGGAATGCCTTTATGCATTTGTGAGGTGCCATCAAACGATAATGTGGCTCCTGTGCAGGTAAGTGATAGTCATTTTATTTCACCTTCAAATGCATCTTAAGTATCCTAAGAAACTTATAGGCTTGTGCTTTGCTTGTAGCCTAAACCCATGCCAACATCCACAGTTTCCACTATGTCGAAAACAAAGAAAGCAGACACAGCACCTAGGAGTAGAGGTTCTTCATCATATAGCAAGTCCAGGTATATATTTAGACATTTTTCCGTCTACGATATTTTTAAATTTTTGATGTTTGAATTGAATTCATATTCTTATAGAACCAGATCTCTACTTTTAATCCTGGATTGAAAGTAACATCCTAAATTATAGTGTCACTTGTGAGGAGCACCCAATCATTTCAACAAAGGAGAAAAGATCTAATGATACACTTGGGGGAAAAATGGCAGGAACTATTATTTCAAAGAGTGCAAACACACTAGACAATAAATTAGTATTCAATAAATCTTAATAACAATATTATTATTTTTTATTTAGCAACGCCATATATGAACATCATGGATTACATTTCTATTTACAAATTCAGAAGAGTTAATAGACCTTGGAGAATGAGAGCAGTAGGAAAAGACCAAAATATCATTAACCAAGGATTCTTATTGCTATTTAAGCCTAAAAAACTCTAGAACTGCCCTAGATTCTCGTAGAGAGCCTATTAATTTTTCCATAATGGAAGTGTTGTGTAGGAATAAGCAAGTTGGACAATGTCTCTTAACTATTTTGCAGAGTACAAACACAAACTGCATTTGGTATGTCCAAGAAGAAGATTCTAACGGACTCTAATATATTTTAAATTCAAAGTTAACATGAAATCCTTTACCTATGTGCCATTAATTTTTGTATAGTTTAATGTAGCCATCAATTTTTCCATTTTTCCATTTTGATGTTAGAAAGTTGTTTGTTTCACATCAAAAGGTAACACCTAAAGTGCAACAAAGGGGGTATTCTGATTCAATTTTAAATTAATGTACAATATTTTGCAGTACTGGACAATCAGCCAATGCTCAAAAACCGCTTGCTGATTATGAAGTTAATGGAGAGGTATGGTATCTTAAAGTACATATGAAAGACATAAAATCTTGGTAAAATAGATAAAGTGTCTTTTAACTTTTTTTTTTCTATTTTTCTTTCTTTAGTTTTTTTTTTTTTTTTTGCCTTTGCATTTCCTTACCTCTACATCAATCTCATAGTTAGAATATCTCAACCACGTGAATTACATATTTTCTGTTCGTGTTATACAATTCCCCTCACCCCCCCCCCCCCCAATAGACCATTTTCATTAGGTGTCTGGATGAAGATTGGAGGAAAAGGATGTAATTGATATAGTTGTGAGCATATAAGTAGGTGATTGATAATTCTTTTTGGTGAAGTATGCAACTGAAAAAACATTGAAAGATTTAGTGATCATATCATCTCTTTTGCCTATGTTTCTTGAAGAATTTTCTCTACCCATGCCGACGCTTTTGCATGTGGCCATCTCAGGTGGTGATTTTAGAAACCGAATTGTTTATCATTGTATTTTTTTTTGGCAGGGGTTACGGGAAGCTATAAAGAATGGTGACTTATTTGCTGTTAAAAAGCTTCTTGGTGAGGTAAGGAGGATTATATTTAATACTTGGTACCAGCTTTGTTTGAAACTTATATATCATTTTGTCTGTGATCAAATGGCTGACTTTTTTTTGGAAGGGTGTCCTAGGCTATGCCTGGACTAATCCTGGCAAATTGTGACTGCAAGAAATCAGCCTTGATAAAACTCAGTGGCCACAATTGTTGTATACACTTGAAATCAAACCCTGGGCAGATGGGATATTCAACCACATCCCCCACAACCCTTGTGGTTATCAAATGGCTGACTTCCCAGTCCAACATGATTTGTTTTGAATTTTGGAGGACAAAATATCATTGTGAATGAGCATATATATGATCATAAATATATATATATATATATATATTTATGATCTATAGTACTTGTTTTTATTTATGTTTAAATGAATTTACATTGATATTGAGGTCCTAACAACGACCCCGTTAGGTCATGGAAGGCTAACCATATTTCTAAATTGGGAAGCGTTTTTTTTAAGACACTGATATCTAATACCTTTGGCCCAACTAAACTAGTCCATGCGTCGCTTCAAAATGCCATCTCCATATGGGCCAGGTAAGCTTTAGGCCTTTCTGGCTAGCGGGCATGGCTCCTAAGGAGTTGATAGCACCTATTCCAAACCAAGGTCCCAAGCCTTACCCACTAGGCTATTAGGGAAGTCTTATTTGGTGTTTTACTATCGTAGTGTAATGCTGAACCTGAACTTTATGTCTTGTAGGGAGTGGATGCAAATTACAGTGACAAACAAGGATTATCTCTCTTGCATCTGGTTCTCTCTCACTCTCTCTCTCTCTCTCTCTATATATATATATATATGTGTGTGTGTGTGTGTGTGTGTGGGTGAATGGGTGCATATGCTCTCATATATGTGTGTCCATTTCCTTTATTTCTAACAGCTATCGTGGAATTTAGGCGGCTGTTTTTAACCAAACTGAGATAGCTTTCACTCTCATGGAAAATGGAGCAAGTCTGGACTACAAGAATTTGCAGGGTATATATTTTTCTTTCATTATTTTGATAAATTTTAAGCCTTATATATGTTTTCAGTACTTTACATGACTACTTTTTGGGGTGTTCTCAATTGGTGGCTGAATTTGCCAAAAAATCATTTGAGTTACTGTCTTCCATCTTTTACATCTAGGCAAGTGGTGTTGGTTGCTGGCTGATGATGTACACGCCAATCTTTTCACAAATTAAAGCTGATGTGAACTTTTTGACTAATGATATTCTTATTTTGATACATACAGTTTTAATAATTTACACAGAAAATAAGTAGAACTAAATTTCTTATTGTTAAGCCTAATGTACAAGATGAAATGCATCAAGTAATAGAAGTGGACTAATATACAAGTGCTTGTATATCAACTACAACTAATGAAAACGTTTTAGTGCAATTGTTGCAAATGATACTATTTGTGATCGGTGCATAAAAACTGTAAAGACAAGGCGAAAAGGACAAGTAATTACAGAATTGTATCCGTTTCTGTAGCATCTATCAAACTGCCCCTAGCTCCTTTGGGGAATTTGGTTTCAAACTCCATTTTTTGGTGTGTAAATATGTTGATGCCTTTTATTTTTAAGCCTACAACTTCAACTGAACCACAAATTTATGATAGATTTCTATTGCTTGTTTTTATTGCATCGTATATGTTATATCTTTTTTTTCTTTCAAGTATATAATATTTATATATGGCAAATACTCGCGCACACTCTACACCTTTGGTGAGGTTTGAACCCTTGACCTCCTGGGAAGCTCGGCTCTACCGGTAACCTGGGTACCACTAGGTAAATCTTATTACTGTACTCGATGCATTCATACTTCTATATTACCAAACCTTTCTTTTATCATACAGAAGAAAGAGATAAGAGTTGCCTGGATGCGGTTTTCTGAGTAATAAGAAAATAAGAAGAATTAATTTTTTTTTTGGGGTGTAAATTGTTCTAAAGAATGTGTAGTTTCTGCAACTTCATTTGTATTACTCTATTTCAGGGGAGACTCCACTTGATTGTGCCCCTGTGACATTGCAATTCAAGATGAAGAAGAAGATGGAAGAAATCAAACAATCCAAGTAAACATCATCATTTCCTGAAACTTTATCTGCTTCTACTATGAATTATGGTCATAGATTCAACTTTGGAAACCATTCTATGTTTATTTCGATCCTAGCAGCCGAACAACACCCAATTGTTAGTGGTTTGCAAGTGTTTTTCTTCTTTGGAAAAATAACCAGTTCTATCCTTCTTCTTTCCTAAAGAAGCAAAAGAGTCAGAATAAGCAAAGCGAAACGGTAAACATTTATATTATATTTTCTGTCTAAATTTTGTTCTTGGATTTAGGGCTAAAATACCAGTCTGGTTCATGGAGTTCATATTCATGGAGTTCATATTCATGGAGTTCATGTTGCAAGTCTTTATATTATAGACCTGATTCACTGCAAATACTAGCTTGTCTCATAGAAGTTCTTTTGAATCTATTCCAAATCAAACCCCTACCTCATAGGTCGTCAGTTCGAGTATACACAGTGTCACTAGGGTTGTTATTGACTGTTATCTTCAAGGTCCCATGATATCAGACGAGGTGCACACAAGTTGGCCAAACACTCATGGTTACTAGGGGAAAAAACAAACCACTACCTCTTTTGAAATCTCTATGGTATTATAGACTTGACCTGATGCATCAAGTTTTTGGATCCACAATAGAGTTGGTATATATGGATTAGCGACTCTTTAGTTGGTTTTTCATTAAGTCGTGTATGGATAAAGCTGTCTATGTGGATTGATTTGTCTGTATGAATTTGGAAGGTATTTGTATGGTAGAATTTTTTCATAGATGGAAGGAGCGTATTTTTTAATTTGGAGGGGTAGGTTTTGAAAAAAACTTGACTTTCTATATAAAGTTCCCTCTAAAAGCTTATCGAATAAGCCACTTTCTATATCATTGAGCCACTACCAAACAGTAATGTATAGCTGACCAAATAGTTGTCTCATTAAGTTTATTCAGCTGTTAACAAATAGGCCCTTAACCGTGTTGTGATGTCCCGTAAGAGCCAATTGGGCATTCAAGTCGACATCTAAACCAAGCCAAGTCAAACCAAACCAAACTAACACAGTAAGGCCCATGTAGAGACGGTGTTTGGGGGTAGCATGCATGCAGACTTTGCCTCTAGCCCAAAGAGTGGAGAGGCTTTTTCTGTGAAGATCCTTGACGTGTATTGTTGCAACGTCTAGTAGGACCTAGTGGGTGTTATGTGGGTGCTTATACGACTTAACATTGTTGCATCGTTTAGTAATAGCCGATTAGCCATTTCTTATGCTATCTAAACCTTGCATCGTCTAGTAAGAGCCAATTAGGCACTAGGTGGGTGCTTTTGCGACTTGGGGTTGTTTACCCAGTTTTTTTGTTAAGGGCTGACCGAAAGAAAAAGGATTTGACGTGGGAACAAGTCTGACAAAGTGCTCATCGGAAATTGTTGCTTACTAAATATTTTGTACTTTTTTAAAAGCGGCCGATTTATTATAAGAAAAAGAAACCAAAAGAGAAATTACAAGAGGGTATTACAATCATAACTTTTTTTGCATGGTGTAGAAGTAGAAACGAAAAAAATAACGCCAAAGCAAAAGTCTAACGAGCAGAAAAAGGAGAGAAAAAGCCCAACTAAAAGAATTCCTACAGTGAGAGACCAACTAACTTTTTGAGCAACTGTGATCAGCCTGCAATACTGATCAACGCAAGAAATATTATCGTTTTTTGGCACGAGTTGCCAACCAATGATAGGATAGAAGTTGAACGTCTAAAGCTAAATGAGTGGGTGAAGGGAGCAGATCAGATCACACCTCTTAACAAAGTAACTCCAAATCACGCACATGGAAACCCAAACAATCGCCTGTTATATGCCTTCTGAAAAATCAGAAAAAGATGGAAAAAGTATGCAATAGAGCGGGAGTCGAAAGGAGCCAAGTGCTACGACCTTAACACTTCTTTCACACATTTGAAATCTTCAACCAAGCCCTACAACCAAATATTTCATATCAAGTGTTGATCGAGTAAAAACCCTTACCCTCGCACTTATGCACTTGCAAAGTTCAATAGGGGTTGTTTTGTTCGTTTTTGAGTAAGTTTTGTATAGATATAGTGAATTGTGTGGGTTAATCTATCTATAAAAAATCCGAGGTTTTTTGTTTGGAAGGGTTTTTCATAGATGATAGGAGTGTGGTTAATTGGGAGGGGTTAGTTTGGGAAAAAAACTTGACTTTTTGCATAAAGCTCCTCCTCGAAGCTCACCGAATAAGACACCTTCTATATGATTAAGCCACTACGAAATAGTCTCGTTAAACTAATAAACTCAAAGTCAATTAGGATTTAACTCAAAGTCAATTAGGATTTAGGCATTCACAATGTCATAAAGGGCATCATGATTGTGCCACAGTGAACATATGGAATAAGTGAGGCTCAACAACAATGCTTCTCTTGCCTAATCAAAGATATCTCTTAACAACTGGTTACATCAATGGCACAATTCCATGGAACCCAACATCATTTTGCCATGTTAATGATAAATTCGCAATGGCGTTGCCGCTCCCTTTGACGTCCACCTTGTTCCCATCTTCGCAACGTAATTGTGAGCGAGTCTTATGTCACGTCGGTGGTTGGGTCGAGGGGATTGAGTGCGTGTTATAGTTTTATGAAATAAAATATTACAATAATTCTACGTTGTAAGAATTTGCACACTTGTTTTTTCTAATATAAAGAATGCAAAAAAAAGACTAAAATACTCCTCATTTACGAATAGTAGTCAACACGAAAATGAAATAAAATAACATGAAATATTTTTTTAAAAATAAAAAATAAGATAATATATTAATTAATGCCCTAACTCATTAGATTTATTTATATCATGTTTTATTAAATATATATTTTTAAAGTAAAAAACATTAGTGATTCAAAGCAACCAAGTGTTTGTTGATTAGGTAATATAACCCACTTTGCAAGCAAACCCACACCCAACTAATTTGTGGAAAATTGTAACTTTATTTTCATATTATTTTTTGTCATTTACCAAAAATAATTTATGAATAAAAACATGAAAATAAAATAAATGGTAGAAAATCCCTGTCCAACGTTGTTTACACGTTACCAGAAAATGAAAAAAAACTTAGACCATTTCTTCTTTATACATGTTGGAATCTATGTTCTTGTTCAGTGACGTTTTTGGAGAGTAATATGGGGGGTCTCATATATATATATATATATATTCTCATATGGTATTAGAGTTAAGGTTTATGACTGTCAAAAGGACGAATATTTTGTAGTGTTCTAACAGCAACAATCAAACGGGACTCAAACCCTGGAGCAATTTGTACTTGTCTATCACCCGCACCAATCTTTGCCCTCTCTCGACACTCTGTGTATCAGTGTAGCCTCGGTTGAAGTGGGCATCTTAGAGTTACACATCTAATAGACTTAAACCATTTATCCTCCATATACGTTGCAATCTTTTGTCTCTCCTCAAGGGTTTTTTTGGAAGCGTAATCTAGGAATTCCATATATTCACATTAATGTTATAAAAACGACCAAATTTTTTGTTTATGTATATCAGTCCATTCTTGAAACATATAATATTTATTATATATCACAATTTTTTTAACACACAAACTTCTCACCTCTGATAAATTTAGTCACTGATCTCAAGAAATGTCAGATCAATAACTGTATATTTGTCATTCTTCTTTCTATATTTTCTGTTTCATATATCACGTATTCATTTTTTCACATTGATGAAATACTATTTTATCTGTCTTTTTTATTCCATAACCTCTTGCTCTTTTAAAGAAAAAATGGCCCAACATCCATAGCAGGGTCATGAATTATTTAACTAAAAATAAATATAAACACTATAAATATTTCCAAAAATTAAATGAAATTAAAAGACTCCAAAATGCATCATTATAACGTTGAGATGTCAATGTTTATGTAACCAAAATTTTGTTAGCAACTTCAATTAACAGTTTAAAACACAGATCTAAAATTAATTAGGATACGTTTTTTTCTAATAAAACAACGATATATATATATATATATATATATATATATATATTCGTTTTCAGTTTGTTTTATGTTCTAATAAATTGGTTCATAATTCTCTTAAAATTAATCAAATTATTCAGTTTTGAAAAACCAGACAGATCGATGATCGATTGGTACGCTTTAACCACCCAACCTTCCCTTCGTTTCTACTAATTTTCTTGGTTCACTTGTCTCTTTCGTTCCCTTAATTTTGTTGTTCTTCAAAACCCTTAGAGATATTTATTTTCAGCTAAAAATCCAATCTCTTTTCTAAAGAATCTAACAAATTTTCTTCATACTGTTTCTACTCATTTTTCGGGTTCTTAGTACGCGTCGATGTTGTTTTTGGTTTGTTGAGTATTAGATGACGAGCAACCGAGATAGGTAACGACGATGGAGGCTAGACAACCATATTTGAAGTAAGTTCTTTGAATAATCTTTATATACGCAGAAATAATGATATTTATGTTTCTTAATGGCAAAATGCATTATAATGTAACAATGTTTGTTTTCATTATATGTTTTTCTAAAGTACATAATAATTATATATGGCAGTTCCGTCTATCATTTTATTGTAAAAAACATGAGTGACACGTTGTGCCATCAGTACCTCCATATTGCGCTGAGTAGAATATATATATCTATACTATCTTATAAAGCATTTGGCTAAAACTCTTAAAACTCTTAAACCCGTTCATTCCTAAACGATTTCATCACTATCCGATTTCATCCCATATCTGAATTCGTGTAACTAACTACAAATAAACACAATCAAATACATGATAAACATCTCATTTTAAATAWAAAAAATCTAAAATATAATTAGTATAATCATTAAATTCTAACAAAATACTTAATTATTATCTTTATAAAATTTATAATATTAAACCAAAAATAAATTGTTTTATTATTAAAC